ATACTATCGAACAATCTCTCGAAATGAACACCCAAACAGACATCGTTTACCTAGATTTTGCAAAGGCATTTGACACTGTTGACCACAATATTCTTCTCCACAAACTTAAACACTATGGCGTATCAGGACAGTTGTATGCATGGTTCGAAGACTATCTGAGCGGTCGTTGTCAACGAGTTGTGGTAGATGGAGTTGCGTCTTCCTGGGCACCTGTAACATCTGGTGTGCCACAAGGAAGTATCCTAGGACCTGTTCTGTTTGCGATCTTTATAAACGATCTTCCAAATGTACTACCAGACGAGACCTCGGCAGCATTGTATGCAGATGATACCAAAGTGTACAAATCAATTAAATCGGAAGATGACTGTCAAATTCTGCAACACGCCTTGACCAGCCTTGAATGTTGGAGTCATGATAACAACCTTGATTTCAACCAGTCGAAATGTAAGGTGCTGACCATCACACGAAAAACGACTCCCCTCGTGCATGTCTACCACATGAATTCAAAGGAACTCTTGCGTGTGGATAAAGAGAAAGGCCTTGGTGTTTGCGTCAGTACCAACTTCAGTTGGGATGTTCACATCCACACAATCACGGGTAACGCTAACAAGATGCTCGGGCTGCTTAAACGAACTTGCCCTCTTTTGAGAGACAAAACAGTACGACGAACGCTGTATCTCTCGCTTGTTAGATCTCAGCTATGTTACGCTAGTGAAGTCTGGTTTCCACACACTGTCAAACTCAAGTCTAGAGTTGAAAGCATCCAAAGTAGAGCCACCGTGTGGATACTACAATCCAAGCATGGCGAAATGACATATCAACAACGGCTAATGAATCTCAACCCACTCCCTCTCTGCTATGAAAGAGAGATTTCTGATCTGGTATTCTTCTTCAAGGCTCTCTTTGGCAACACAGATTTGGACGTCAACACCTTTGTCTCCTTTTCCAACAACAATCGGACCCGACTCTGTCAAAATCCCTCCCTCGCCCTTAAAGTCCCTCTCTGTAAATCCAACACATTCAAAGCATCCTATTTCAACCGACTAGTTAAAGTATGGAACTATACCTGTAAATTCTACCTCCTACCACCTTCGCCATCCTCTCCTCGTTTAAAAGAAACATTAGAAGCAAATATAAACACTTGCTCGGAACAATGTTCGACATAGAAATGCCATGTACATGGTCACTAGTGCGTGACTGTCCATGTCATAGAATTTAGTAAATAACTGTGTTTCATGTGTTTGCTGTTTTGTATTGTATTTTGTTCTATTTTATTGTTTTGTATAGTTTTAGAATGGTAAGCACATTGCATGGGACTTTATGTCTCGTTCGTGCTTGATTTTGTCCATTTGGGTATTCTACTTATTTCTATATAGAACTGTTGTGTTTAAAACGATGTAGAATTCTCAATAAAATTGTTAAGTGGTAATGGTAATGGATTATTAACACATTCAGTAGTAGTTACGCTAATTTACAATGTGTTTACAAATTTGGGTATAAAAAGGTATATATTCTATATATTTACATGTCATTCATTAAAATCAAAGTTTTACTAATCTATATCTATTTACAATATGTATAAAAACTACTAATGCATACCTATTTGTAAATTAACTGATAAAATTTTAAAAATGATGATCCTAATCAACTAATCTAGAATTATATAAGTATATACAGTAAACTAAAGGACTGTGTTTAAAACGTTCAGTTTTAGAGGGGAAATTATATAATTTCTGACCGTTAGTTCTTGTTTCTTTTTGCCTAATGTATTTTAGTTTCTTTGGTAAGAGGCTGTGAAGTTTATGGTTTGGTTCCAGAATATTTTTAATTAGAGATACACATAATTCGTCCCTGCGTTCTTCCAAAGTTTGTAATTTGTGTCTCAGTTATTGCTTGGTCGTAGTCTAGGTTTGGGTAAATTATTCTAAGTACTCGTTTTTGAATTCGTTCAATGCTCTTTTTCTGCTCTTGGGTTAGACCTCCGTTCCAAATCTCTGCACCATATTCTAAAATAGGACGAATTACCGAACAGTAAAATGCTAACAAATCATCCATGGGGGCACCATAACTCTTCAAGATCTTTAATAAATACAGACGCTTGGCCGCTTTCTTTGTAATATATTCCGTATTAGTTTTCCATTTAAGATCGCAATCTAACCATATTCCCAGTAACTTATATGACTTCGTTCGAGAAATATTATGACCACCAACATAAATTGGGGGTATAGGGTTATATTTTTCCTAAAGTCAATAATCATCTCCATACACTTTTTATAGTTTAGTTCCATTCCTTCGTCCTTTGCAAACTGTACCACCTTGTCTACGTTCATTTGAGTATTACCGATTGGGATGCCACCTAAATGGTCACTGACATTGATTACTTCCGATAATGTTGTGTCATCCATAAACATCGCTACGTCCTGGTCTTCTACGGCATTACATATTTGATCTTGGTTATTGGGTATAATAGACGTTGGTAATTGGTTTAGTTTTATTATAAACGCAATATAGGACCCAACTTACTCCATTGTGGAACGCCTCCATTCATTCTTTTACAATCAGACTGTTCTCCATGGAAAGACGTTACTTGTGATCTGTTATAAAGATATGTAACAATGATATGTAACATATGCCATTTATGCAACAAATAAATCAATAAACGCATGTATTGTAGATGTTCCAGGCAGACCGCCAAATTGACTGCTACTGATTTTATCATAAACATCCTCATAAATCCAATCATTAACGTATGATTCTTGTACCTTTGATAATGTACTCGTTAATGAAATGGGTCTTAAAAGGTCTACCCTAGAGCAGGGTTTACTTTTAGGAATCCCACACCCCCTCGAAATTTTCCAAATATCTGTGAATACTCTGCAAGTAAATGATTCGTTAAAGATGTAACATAACGGCTCGGCGAAGTAGTTTGTGAATGTTTTTATTATCTTTACATTTTGGTCGAACGGACCGCTTGCTTTATTCGGGTTAGGTTTACTTAACTTATTTGCTACACTATCTGCGGTGATGCTCAGTAGTTGTTCTTCCATTCCAACATTAAACCAGCTATCATGTACTTCCGAGTAATTACTAGTAAGACTAGTAAAATATTCGTTCATCAGATTAGCTGTGTCTTTTGAATTTAGTGGGGTATCAGACTGTGGGCTATTTAGAATAAATTCCTGTTTACTCTGTCCAGTAATGTTTTTTATATTTTTCCACCACTGCTTTGAATTGGAACAACGAGCAGGTTTGATTTTTTCACTGTAATATTTCTGCTTCTCTTTCCGAATTTCTGAGGTAATTTTATTACGAAGCGATCTGTATTCTTCCATTCTCCCAAGTTGGTACATTTTATTTCTGTTAGATATCATTTGTTCAATCCTCCCAGTCATAAAGGTTTGTCATCTTTATGGACCTTGACAATTTTTGTTGGAAAACAGTTATCAATCATTGCATTAGTAATCGATAAAAAGGCGTTCACTTTGGTGTTAATACACGAGGCCTCGTAAACCGCTGACCACGTCTCTAGACCGATACAGTCTTCAAACAAGCGCAACATCGTTTCTTTAATGGGTCTCACTGAAATCTTTTTTTATCTCATTTTTACCTTGAGCTTGTTATTTCGATTTCCATATAATAGCGCTGTGGTCTGAACAGCCAATCGGTGCCAGAGATACTGGTGTTTCATAAAACGAATGTGCATTGGTCAGGATTAATTCTCAAATTCATTAATAATTCATGGTAAATTAGCCAATGATAATCACCTATTTGATCACAAGATGCCATTTGGATACTTGATGAAAGTCACTAGTGTTTTCATCAAATATCTTAATTACGCATGCAAAATTACTTGAGTAGAATTCCTAATTACGTTATGCTTGGTTAAGAATTCTATTCAAATCAGCAAACGAAAACATTCGGTTACGTCTCGATTCATTTGAGAAGCCATATAAACAACTCGAGCTCGTGTCTCACCGGGATATCCAAACACTCGAAAACAATGTATGAAAACACTTGCGCTTCGAGCTCGTGTTTTCATACATTGTTTTCTCGTGTTTGGATATCCCGGTGAAACACTCACTCTCGTTGTTCATATATTACGTCTAGAATTGCGTTACCTCTGGTTGGTGTTCTGATTACTTGTTTTAACTTACAGTGATTTTTAAGGACTCTTTCCTGAAATCCATTACTTAAGGGATTAAAATCCCCAGTGATAATAATTGATGTATTTGGACTCTCGCTAATAAGAGAATCATAACAATAGCAACAATATTCATAAAAACTTTCAACTGCTTCGGTATTCATCGACGGTGGCAAGTATACACACGTAAGTGCAAGTTTTGAAATTTTTCGTGGAAGCCATTTTGGTCGGAGAGTAATTCACAGACATTCATAAATTAAAAAAAGTTTTACGCGAAAGACGACCAATAGCCTCCTATCATATCTACGTATTGAATATTGATTAAAAATTCCATTGCTAAAAATTCGAACGGGTCAAAGCATATTCATTTCACAGATCTAAGTCTGGTATACTTTAATTTAGGGTTTTATATTTAGTTGCGGTAGTAATCATGTTTAGAAAATCCTCCGCCGTCCGTCGTCCGCCGTCTGCCTTTTATCCATCCGCTTTTTATCTACACCCTAGTTGTTACATGTGTTGGAGACTGTTATTGTTGTTGTTATAGACACAGAATTTTCCAGAACATTCTATAAATATTCAATATAAATATAATATCTCAGTCAAACAATGACAACAATCAACAGGGCCCCCCACACCAAATATGCCACCTCTTCCTCCGTTAAGTCACTGACTGGGATTCGCTTAATTTTGGATTGGATCGGAATATGGGATTTGGGATACTGAGAGTGGGCATGATATATACAAAAATGGAAATAAAAAACCATGTAGCTATATACTATTTTAAAGACATGTGTACACTTGTAGTTTTACATTTCAGTGTTTAAGTAACTTCAAGGAAAGCTACGGAACAACTTTTGATTGAGAGTTTTGTATAAACATGTCCTAGAAGACTGGATCCCCACTTAGCTCAATCTCGTTCCCCGAGCCTGCGATCCTCGGGAAGGAACGTGAGGCTCTGGGAAAATCCTTCCAGGGAGGAATCTGATTGGCCGTTGATATGAATGCGTTGAGTTCGGTCTTAGCCAGGATTCCTGGCTTCCGGGAACGCATTATCCCAGAGTCTCACGTTCCTGCCCTAGGATCGCAGGCTCAGGGAACGAGATTGCATGTGAGCTGAGAATTAATTAGCCTCCCCAAAATGAAACCTGTTCTGCCGCCACCGCTGACTCATGATTATGAATCCTGATCACGTATTCTCAATTTTCTTTTTTCAGGTGAATGCTGGAGTGGACCATCACCGGCAGCGAATACTGAATTTGAGAAACATGGCTCTGGGGAAGCATGCTATGGACCTGGGTATAAAAAATGTACTAGCAATTCTAAAAATTGTGTTGGAGATAACCATCATAACTTCGTCTATGAAATACGTAAGTGGATAAAATTTTGTGTATTATTTAAAACATGTGCATCAGTGTTTTATCAGATATATCTTTAGGTCTGATAAAACACGCACTGCCAAGTGCGAATGTTTTGAATTGCTTCAAAAACCATGGATCTAGTAAGTTTATTGGCAAAGTACAAGGCCGAAAGTTCGGTATTACGGCTGGGGTGGGGGGGGGGGGTGAGCTTGTTTTGCCCGACCAATAGGGAGTGCCCGACGTACGGACATTCCGGACAATAACCTTCCCTCCGTCGACAACTTTTTAGGGAAAATTTTTTTCCGGTTGAATACGTTTAATTGCTTTTGTTGCATGTTTTCCAAATTTTTCCATACAAATTTTTGGTAATTTGCCCAAAAGACAAAAATTTTTCAGTAATATTTTCGTTAATTTATCAAAATTGTTTCTACAACTATTTCTTTTTGATAAATTATGTAAAATTTTTTGCGCGATTACATATTTTTTCCCCGAGTAGAGTGTCGTTGAAATTGTTAAACTTGCCCGACGAAACTACAATATTACAACCCCCCAACACCCCCCCCCCTCCATACACCTAATTTCGGCCCTGGCGAAGTAATTTTCAAAAAATACGTTGTGTTAGTCGAGACAATCAAAGTTAAAGTTTATGTAGTAAATTCTATCACATGCACATAAAGTTACGACACGCTTATGATTTCTTTTTGTGTTTTTCTCTTGAATTAACAAGGTTTTGAAACACTTATATATAATGAGAAATACAGGGTGTATCAAAAAAAGCGCAACCTCGGAATTTCCCAAGAAATCCACATTGTTTTAAAGACAAAAGATTTTAGGCGCCTGGGGATTTAAAATAGCACAACTGTCAAAATTACTGCACACGCGAGTGCATAAAGCAAAATTTATGCATTTATTTAATGCACAACAACAGTAATATGATCTATTAACAATCCGATTTCAATTCCCAGGGGCCTAAAATATTTTATGCTTAAGAATTGCAAAGTGATTTCTTAGGAAATTCCGAGGTTGCGTTTTTTTTATACACCCTGTATACCAGCAAACTGAATTGTATATAACAAATAACAATTTTGCCACAATACGCATGAAATACGATTTAAAACGAACGTATAACTATACCTCGAGCGAAAATATGAATAAACTTTGACTTTACGACCGAAATCTCTTCATCTGTAAATTTGGCTACTAACTTCTGGTCGAAATCGTATTTTCAGGTAGTTATATCACACACAGGATAAGCATTAAATATATGAATGTCAAAGTATTGAAAGGTTCAAATTATTGTGTTTCACGTATATAGCCATTAAATAATTTTGCACTGGCATATTAAGGGATGACATAGGGGGTATTTAAGGATTATATATTCTAATTTGATTAAAGAGATAAGGCAATAGAAAGACACAAAAACCTAGCAAGCTATGTTTGGCATATTTATTACTATCCAGAGGGTGGGTAAGGGGGGAGGGGGGGTTTGGATCACGTTTCACAACGAAAAAAAAGCCGTTTCACGATTCACGTGTCTTAAAAAAGCAATTTCACGGAAAACTAGATTCTAATAAAATAATATAATAATAATAGGTTTATTTAGAGTATGTTTAATGCATGGTACAGTTTCTACGCTTTACGTTCTGTCACTTCTCTATCTATCAGTTAATAACTACACCATAACTTAGAATTTTGAGTGACGAGTATGTTCGACGACCTCCGACTAGCCTCCGAAGTTTTTACTCTTGTGCAATCGAGTGAGATCATATAAATTGATCATCGCGTATCATGTCTATTATGACTATTATAAAATAGATCAACAAAGCAAAATCACAGTTCACGAAACAGACATCCTTCTTATTTCACGGAGCATTTTTATCGACAATCACGCCTCACGACTGTTGAACAAATCACATTTCACGATACTAAAATCAAGCATTTCACATTTCACGCGAACAAATATATATTGACCATTCACGGCTCACGAAAATACCCTTTCCCACCCTCTTCTATACATGCAGTTTTGTACTACGTAAGTAACGTGGAACTCTTCAGATAAAATTTATGATTATAAATAATGATTTTATTTTTTATTTTTTTTATTACTATACATTTTCGTACCACGTAAATAACGTGGCACTCTTCAGATAAAATTTATGATTTTTATTAATGATTTTATCTGAAGAGTGCCACGTTATTTACGTGGTACGAAACTGTATAGTAATAAACTAAACAAAGTTTGCTAAGCTTTTGTGTCTTTCTATTATGCTCTGGTTATACATTGAGCACTCTATCATTGGTTTTATAACACAACACAAACTATTTTGTATATATGAGAGAAATAACGTCAATACAGATTGCACTCAATTATAAATATTCGCTGCGTTTCAGAAATTTGTCCAGTGAAATTTGAGCGTCTGGGTTGCTATAAAGACAGACACCACCCATTGATGCGCCCATTGAATGAATACATTCTGACAGATCGAGATAGGAGACATCCTGCATTCAGTGGTAGAGTTATTGACTGGCAAAACTTTGATACCTACTTGCCCGACCTCGCATGCCGGTGTGCAATGAAGACTGTCGAGAAAGGATGGAATACTTTTGGTGTCCAGTATTATGGTAAGAACATGAACCATGCTCGGTGAAAGAAACATGGTAATGAGCGATTAGTGGCGAAAAAAATTTACATCAGGGGTTCTGCTACGCCCGAATCAAGCAAAAATAGGATCGTCTTAGACGAAGTGAGAAGAGTTGTTGAACAATATTCCCCGAGCCAACGGCGCGGAGCGTCGTTCCGGGCGTAAGCCCGGGGCGAGGGTCCTAATTCCGCCCGGCTATTTACACCCGGGGGAACGAAAGCATTAGCGATCATGAGGTTGAATTTTACCTAAAATTGAAACTTATATTACGTATAATAACATATACTTAACATATATATGTTTGGGGAATTGAAATTAATTTAAAAGTGATATTTTTAGGGGATTTTTCATTTGTAAAAATATTCTTAACAAAATTATCGTGTTACCATGACAACTACTTTAAATACTCCATGTTCGAAAAATACAATGGTTTTGTCAGCAAGGCGAGGGGTTTCTGGACGCATGTATTTTCTAGTAATAGCTTTTCTTGTCGTTAGTGGTTTGGACAGTTATTTCCGTCTAAAGGTTATCGCGTTTGTATGTGGATAGGTCTGTCTGTACGTCTGTTTATTTGTCTGTGTTTATAAAGTTTGGATGAAAATTGGATGAAGAATGTTGGCCGAAGGTATATGCGGCTCCGAGTGCCTTCTAGTTATTTAATTAGGTTGCAGTCACACTAGTGCTTGAAGATTACCACCGGATTAGCGTGCATGCTTGCTTGAACACATGCATATCCAAGCTCATGCTAGAATGTAAGCCAAGCACGTCGTGGTCACACTCAAGAAACCAACGTTTGCCATGCTTGCTCTCGTTGACAGCTAGTTAGATAAAAATTAAACTTGAAGTTATCTAATAATCTAAAGTCTATTATATTAAAGTCAACGAATATATTATTCTTGTGATTTCGTAACTGTAAGTTTAGAAAATTTTTAGGCAATATAGAAGCTATATAGAGAATGTGTCTTTGTCTTTAGTTCAGGCGTAAATCAATCGATTGATCGTTATTCGTGCATAATCATATTATATGTACTAAATTGGGAATAGGGATGTTAACTTCGAAATTTTGAATTTGGTTTTGCGTCAGGTTTCCATATAGGCTACAGAAATGCCGTTTATTCATCAGTCGACTTTTCACTGCTTAGCGCGTTGTTGTAGCGCGCTGGAAGGTGATGTGTTGAGCGATTCAAGTATTTAGATCAAGCATGCGAGCACAACTTTAGCGCAAAAATTATAGTCACTAAGTTTGTTGGATAGTTAGTTTATCTGCAGTGATTGATGGATAGTTATAGGTTACCTACAGACTACAGAGTTTGTTGAATAGTTAGTTTATCTACAGGAAATGATTATCAACAGGTATTTAGTTAGTTAGTGTGTGCTAGTTAGTCTGTCAATAATATAGTTAGTTATAAATGAAATTACATTCTAAATATAACTCAATTCCAGGAGAATGTTGGTCAGGAAAGGAAGGCGATGTGACTTATTATAGGGATGGAAAAACCTCAACATGCGTGAACAAATGTTATGAACAATGCCATAATTATGATCCATTTTGTACTGGAATGGGATTTACAAATTTTGTTTATCGTATTACTACAACAGGTATTGTGATTTGTGTTTTTCGGCTTTTTCTAGGGTTTGCTGCATGTGCACAAAGGGATTGAACAAAATGCATGGCTATTTGGATAAACGTTCATTGAAGGTTCGGTTTCTGCCATTCTTTACATCAAAAGGGGAAACATGGTTATTTGAACTAATTTACTGATAATTTCGATGACTTAGAAATACATATAGGGCATATAAACCGACGTGTAGTAAACATGTTATATCATACTCACCTGATACAGATAACGGGGCGTTTTGGCTACTTCATTTATCGTTGGCCGAGGCGCAAGTGCAAATTCAATAGTACAGTATCCCCAGTGTCCTCAAGAATCTAAGTGAATGCCCCGTTGATACTTTCCGAT